GCTCTTCCAAAAAATGTTTCCAGTACAGAGTGTTTGAATGTTGTGGTTTGCCATAGGTGTGTTTCTACTGGTGCTAACTGCTGTATTTAAAGAATTATAGTATGTTTTTTCAACTGAGATCCAACCTGTGGGATCCATGTGAGCCACAGCATTTATTTTTTGTGACCTTCTGCCTGCCAGTATGTGCCCAGATACTGGTTCCTGTGTGCCCCTGCCATGCCTGTGTGTGTGTAAGCATTGTTATATGACTTTGGAGAGTGACATGATGAAAGTAGGTCAAAAAGAATCATCCTTTATTTGCTTGTTGACTCTATGTATCCAGTCTTTGTTTTCCTCTGTCAGAATCTGTGTTTTCACTTTATCTCCAGGGATGAGGTTTGTAACACGGATGCTAACTAATGAGGTGCCAGTCTAGGAGCTGAGTGACAGTTCTTTTGCCCACTAATGTGAAATTCCAGAAAGCTCTTCCAAAATTAGCTGTTCTTGTGTATTAATTCTGCATATGATCCTACGGAGCAGTCTTGGTAGTCTGCTGAATTGTAAACAGCTACAGTTTCCCAAAGGACTTTGTCACACAGGTGCCGTAATGATGCAGTGAAAAATTCTCCAGAGAACACAGATACCCAGCAGCCCACTATTGGTATAAGAACAGTATGCTAGAGGTGGTCTGGAGACAGGAGAGTGGCTGTTGAATCTGTGGTGAAAGTCCTTCTGGGAGTCCAGATAATTGCCCTGGAGGTTAGGGCCAAGATTACATTTTAAAATGTAACTTCTAGTATCACTGGAAAGTTTGTTTTGCGGTTGTTTTCAGAGTAAACAGACTAATACACACTTGAAATAGTACTCCAAGTATTAAAGTCTGTGCCCTATAAAGCACTTCATCAAAAGTTTAACTTAGATATAGAACTATTTAACGTGTGCCTCGGGCTTTTTGAAACGGGATTTATGTGTACATCTTTCAAATACAGAGTTAATGTATATGCAGTATGTTAGAGAGCAGTGTTTTTCCTTGAGCAAGGACACACTGACACTGCTCCTGTGTCAGCAGTCACCAAACACAAGTAAACATTGGATGCCGAGATCTAAAAGTTGTGGTTGATCTACTCACCACATGAAAACACATACAGGACTTCATGAATGCTCTTTATGTATGTTTAAGTGTTCTTAGCTTTCATAGTTTTATTAATTTTTTACTGTCATTAGAAGTAAAAAATCTTTCAAAAATATGTGATTATGGTCACTCAGAATAATGAGTAGAATATTGTTTCTTAATTATTGGGAATGGAGTGATTTAATTATTAATTTGGGGGGGGTTTATATATGTAAAAATTTAAAATTCAGAATCCTCTAAGGAAGAAGGATTATGCTCCAGTGCTCTTCTTGGATTGATGTGGGTAAAGTCATACCTAAATTATATTTTAAGAGGGGATTTTGTGCAGATTTTTTCCCAGTTTGACTGGTTCAGTTCTGCAAAGGAAGCCCATGTTCTGTATCACGTTGCTATTGAGTTGATCCTTTTAACTCAGAAATCAACCATGACAATTGTTCTGTGTGATGGTGACAAATGATAAAAGCTGGATATTGAATATGCTGCCATGACAGTAACAAGGAGCATTCCATTCAGATTTTAAAAGACAACGTGGTGTGGATAAATGCTGGCAGTGTCCTGCAGTGGAGTGGGTGTGGTTTGAAGAGAAATTAAGTATGAGTATTTCTGTGATGAATACATCCCAGAGACTCATTAGCCCCAGTAATGGTTTTCAGAGGGACTCTCAACAAGCTCAGTGTGAACCTACTGAATGGCTTTTTTTTTTTTTTTCTTTCCTTTATTTTCCTCCACAAAAAAAAGTATCTCCAGCAATATTTAGCCACAAGTCCTGGATGATACATGAAACTGAGTACAGGCCTTAGGGTTGAGTTTGTAAGTTCTGTAAATAAATAGGGACCAGACGGACTTTCATTGGGTTAAAGTTCATTTGAAAGAAATTATGTTTCCAAGAAATTTGTGGGGGAAAATAAGCAGTACAGTTCCAGGAACCAAGGAACAAGTTTGTAACAAGAAACTTTCATACTGTTGTTAGGTCATTTGTTGATTCATTTGATTTTTTGGGGGGAAGAATGCTTAATCTCCAAGTCTGTTTTGTTGTAAAAACTGAGGAATATTTTGTGCACATATTGAAGCAATCTACATTGCTTCTAGATTTTCATAATTTGTAGTTTCTGATCAAGTAACCAGAAGATATTTTATTAGTTCCTATCAGAATTCATGCAAAATAATTGGTAGTTTATTTAATTTACTGGAAATAAATTTTAATCTGCATTCTTGCCAAAATACTTCGAAAGGAGGATGAACAGTTTGAAATGAATTCTCACAGTTCAGGTTTTTCCTAGTCTCTTTCCATCAGCAGCACCTAACTAAAGACTGTTGGAGACAGGGTGGAGTGGTTAAATCTCATGGCAGAGTTGTCATACTGCATGAAGGACCATCACTTATAAACTCTGTCTCCTCAGATTCCCCCAGTCATCTTGGTTTCACGAGCAAATGGATTAATTTAAGAGTCCTGCAGAAGAAAGAGCAGCTCTTGCCTGGAAAAGGGCTGGGTTCTTGTTCTTTTTTTTTTTTTAATTACTGTTCCCTGGTTTTGCCTGTGTTGTGTGTTGAAAGCCACTTCCTTACTGTAGAACAGCCAGTGCTGCATTTGGTCTGCAGAGGGTTAGGGAATGAGAAGCTTGTCCTGGTTGCTGCTAGGTCTTCTCTCTGGTTGCTGCAAACTGTTGCAAGGTTCAGGGAAGTTTTGTTTCCCTCAGTGAGGTACACTGGGTTTGAAAGATGGCTCTTCACTAGTTTTTCTTTGTTCCCTGGCCTCAAATTTCCCATGTCTCCTTGCCCTCAAATTTCCCATGTCTCCTTGCCCTCAAATTTCCCATGTCTCCTTGCCCTCAAATTTCCCATGTCTCCTTGCCCTAAACTCCTGCAGAGACTCAGAAACAGGCGTTTAGAAGTCACCATGTGTTGCAGCACCCCTGCTACTGTTACTGGTACACACACCCTATTCATTAGGAGCAAAGCCTGAGCAGTGCAAGAGTGATGTTGCCACATGCACAATGAAGTTAGAGATGTGTCATGGGCAAAGAAATAAACCACCACACAAAAAAAACCCCAAACCCATGTATGAAACTGGTTGTCACTTGCTTATCTACAGGCTTTGTATTTTAAGCATGAACTTAATTATTCATAATAATCTATTTCATAAGACATACAATAGACATGACTTTAAATTGTACTCTTCATATTTTATCTTTGTTCAGTCATTGCATCCATTTTATTGTTTTCATACCAGTTAGTGCTTTTTTTGGTTGCAGACATGAGGAATGTATATGTTTCCAGTTAAATAAGTCACTTTATTATGAACTTCCCCTTGTCTTCAGTAAGTTATAGATTTAGACAAGTAATTTCATTGACAATCAGCCCATTAGCAGTTGTTGCTCTTTATCTTACAGTAATACATAAAACCTGCTTATTCCACTAGTACAGTCTTGTGCTTACCCTCATGCTGTAATGCACAGAGTGAAGTTTATGGCTAAAAATGTTAATGATTTCTGTTGGTGTTTGAGCACTTGTTTAGATGTTAGCTAAGCTCAAACATTCAGCTTCATGTTGAAATAGTTCTCTTCCTGAAAACGCCAGTGATCTTCGACCGGCACCTCTGCCTGGTGCAGCACCTTCAGCCGGAACCGCCGCTCCAGGCACTCTGTAACAAGTGGGTATCTTGCAGGCTCAAATTTGTTGGCAAACAAATGAGGTGACTCAATAATCCACTGCAAATCCCCTAGTCCGTAAACACAAATGTCTCTGATGTAATGACCTGCAAGGACAAATTGAAGGTATCTGAGGGCAGCAGAAATCTGAACAGAATTATTTTTCTAAAATAGTTTCACTTTGTAGTGTTACAAACAAAAAATACCTTTTGATTTCACATAGAGCATAATTCAGATATGTCTGGAGAATAATGCTAGACTTTAGAATGTAAAGGCAGGGTTTGATTTTGTATTTTGCACATGATGGACACAAGTTACCTCCAGCTGCTTCACTGACGTGTTGCTCTGTTTAATACTGCATCTTGGAGCTGGTGGGCAGGCTGAAGTTCTGATCTATCTGGATACCTGTTTAATCATGCAGTACTTTACTGTGCTCAGTTTATACAGTTATATAGTTAATTTATTTATTTGCATTCTTTCCATATGGTCAGCACTATTCTCCTTTTTTATTATTGTTCAAATGGGAAGAGATGTCAATCAGTGTTGATGACAGTTTGTGACCAACACGCTTGTCAAGTAAACCCTCTGCTCTTCACTGAAAACTGATCAGTCAGGTTAATGCACTGGTAATTGGAGGTTGAAAGAGTGGTTGTCAGTACATGGGTACTGTGACCATCTTTGCAAGAACAGAGGCTATTTAGACTGGATACAGTGCAGTAATTTAGTAGGATGGCTTGCTGGTTTATTTGATACTGACAAAATAAAGTATGTATGACCACTGTGCACACTGAATAGCTAGCTTAAAGCATAATACATCATTTGCAATGAATGCTGGTCAGCAAATCACATCTGAGTTCATGATCAAACTTCACGTTACCTTTGCAGCCTTTATGTGTGGTTCCATCTTGATCTTTCCATTTAATGGCTCGTATGTTTCCTTCCCAGTCTGCATTGGGTGTAGCCCCTGGAGCATCTGTAGAAACATAAGGTTCTGATAAGATTTCTTTCTATTTATTACAGGGAAGATTCTCACTGCTGAATTATTTTAAATGTAACCACATTAAGTAGTTATTTACATCACAAAAACAGGCATCATTCTTAGCTCTATTGCTTTTCTCTTTCTGGAGAGCATGAACTTCTATGCAGCAAAAAAAAAAATTACTTTTTTTCATCACCTCTTTCGTAGCTTTGTAGCTAATGATCGCACCCCAAACTATTGCTTTTCTCTTTCTGGAGAGCATGAACTTCTATGCAGAAAAAAAAAAAAATTACTTTTTTTCATCACCTCTTTCGTAGCTTTGTAGCTAATGATCTGCACCACAACTAGTATTTCTCTGGCATCAAGCTTTGTTTCTCAGCCTTCTGAAGATGTGACTGTTTGAAAGGGCTGCATCAATGCTGAAGAGATGTCTGTTTTTATGCAACGTAACTCAGTTAAATGGTGGTGTTAAGTTCTGAACTGGAGCTCACTTAGCTCAGCGTGTCAGAGGCCTTAGAATGCTGGTGGTCCAGGAGTTACTCACAGTAGAAATAACATAGATCTTACCATTTAAACGATTCAGTGTGACCCAGTAGTGTTCATCCGGGCTGTACGTGTCTCTTGACCATTCAAGCAAATCTTTTGCACGTGCATCAGTCAATGTAAACTCTACAAATTCTTTAGTGAGTATGTAATAAGCACTACCAAAATATATTGTCAAGTTATATGGAGGCTTAGCTTTTATATTCTTTGTTGGATACACGTACGACACTCCAGAACGTATATATTCTCTGTAACTAACCTGTGTCCTGTGTTTCATGTGAAGTGGTTGCACCACCCCAGGAGTCATATTTTTACCATTCCATTTACTTTTGATGTATCGTATAATATCTTTGTTTGTTTTAATGGGATAATCTTGACCACATAAATTAATAACATAATTCCACTGAACTTTGGAACGCACTAGATCTCTCATGCAATTAATATCAGCTTGTAATCTTGAAAATCCTGCATAAACAACATTTTCTCTTTTTGAAGAAATAAAGATATTTTTAAAGCAATTAACAATGTTTTGTACAGCAGCCTTATAATCTTTGGGTGACTTTGCATCCACATGTATGCAGTAAACATTCTGAGGCATATAGATAGCTCTTAGAAGCTTTACAAACATTTCCAGCTCCTTGTGAATTGTGATAATGTATGCCAGTGAGAAATTTCCTTCTTCATCTGATAGTGGTCTGGTGATAAAATGCAGAGTCTTCAAAACCATGGAGCAGTTGCATGAAGTCTGAATGCAGCTGAGTGGTTTAGGTTGGTAGGTATTCTGACAGAAGTTTCCAATTTTAAAGGCAGCAGTTTTCCCCACAAAAAGAGCTGAACAAAGTTCATCTGGGTAAAAACCACACTCTGCTATATTTGCATTCAATTTTTGTTCATTTGGCTCTGTGAAAATTGTATCCTTTAGGTAGGTAAAAGTGAGGATGAACATACAGACAGCAATGCACACTAAAAATCCTGATTTTGTTGCATCAAGTGGGTTCATCTTTTATTTTCCAGATACTGTCTTCTCATCCTAGTTTGTATAGGCGTTCAGATTGTCTGAAAGGAAAGGTGAGATAAAGAGAGGGAGAGAATGTTTAGGCTTTTTTTTAATAGATTACATGCTAGTCATGTGTATTTAAATGTTGAGATTACTCTTTCCAGTTCTAGGAGACTGTGTGTGCCCATGTGCATGCTGCAGTGTACTCAGCCACTGGCAATGGTACTTGGAGAGCCATGAACCAGACTTTCTAGGACAAAATTATCCAAAGAAGCCAAAGTGGCTTTTTATACTTTATTACTTAAGCAAGGGCATGCCTAGCGCATTGGACAGATGTTTCTTCTACTCTGAGGCAAAGTGAGTGCCACTGGGTGAGTCCAGTGCTGTAGGTTAGTCAAGGTCTAGCTTTGGAATAGGGAAGATGTATGAGCACTGTGTGCTCAGGGAGAGCTGCTGCTGAGATTTCCTTAAGGCCTGGGAAACCTTAAGTTTTGCTGGAGGACCAGAATTCAGTAAATTAAATCAGCGGAACATTTATTAAATAAGCAAAAGGAAGAGACAAAAACATAATCCACAAAATACACTGGTTTTTATCCTTATAAAGTCAGCAAATGTTTCTAACTCTGAGAGATTTATTTTTTTTTTCCTCTCTGACATCTTTGTATTAGTGCTTTGGAAAATAAAACATCCAGACAACACTCACTTCTTATTTTTAGCATGTGTGCATATCCTGAGATAAGCACACGCACTGCCAGTATTAGCATGCAGGGATAACTGTGTAGTTTATATCAGTATTGGCACAGGAGTTTTTTCCATTGTGATTGTTTTTTCTTCTCTATGCCTTGTTGAAAAGGCTCTACATTTTAATCAGAAAAGTGAAAAATACTTTTTTTCAATGAAAACTCAGTAAACATCTGTCTTAGAAGGTTGAATATAAAGAGGGTGTTGTAGATAAAAGTAGAAATGAGGCATAACATTTAAAAGCATTAAAAATACATAACTTGAACTGAGAGAATGGATGCTCTAGAATACCACAATTTTAAAATATTAGGCTGTTTGAAAAGAATGTATTTATCTTACTGGTAAGCACTGGATTTCATGCTGGAAGAATTCCTCTTTTCCACTTAGCATTCCAGAAAGTGGAGCTGTATGTTAGGTGGAGGGTTCATCCATTTTGCTCCTATGATCTGTCTGCAGTGCTCTTCAGTCTGCATTGAATGCACAGGCCAAAGAAAAACATGAAGAAATCAGGTCCCAGAAGAGTATTTTTATTTCTTCTCAGCTCCCAAAGGGATACGTTTACTAGGTAAACAAGCATGATGTGAGTCTTTCATCCATTTTTACAAAAAACTTCAGCATATCTATCCACGTCGACCTTGCAGTATTATGCAGAAAGCAGGAGAAAAGGAACACACACCACTGAAAGGTGACAGCCAGGATTTTCAGAGTAACAATGAAAGAGACCAGAGCTGTAGCCTGCTACCTGCTGACTCCCAGGGCTGAGCATATATTTGCATAAGGGCCATTATGTTCCCAACAGCAGAAGTTAGGGAGAGTTAGGGAAGCACTAGTTTTTGTGGACCTGGAGTCAGAAAAACTGTTTTATTCTGGGTAAATAATTATAGGAGGAGCTTTGAGGTTGCTCAGAATCAGTGAATGTGAGATGGTCTCTATGGTACATCCCATGGAAGGTTCATTCTGGACATCCAAATCACACTGAAGACACTGGGTACTTAGGGTAATATTTGGGGCTTTTACCCCAAAGACATGTACAGATGTAGAATATCTGAACAGAACGAATGTGCTCATCGGTTGTTTGGCTTGTTGGGTTTTCTTCATTAAATACATCTTTGTGGACAGGTTGCAAAGGGTAGTTCCCTAGGGAACTAAGCTATAGCCTGTTAGTTTCATACACTGACATTTTTATTACCCTTCAAATAATAGCTTCCAGGGATGTTTCAGGTTGTTAAATGTTTACTGTGGATTTTTCCTACTGAACTGCATGGCATCTAGAAGCTGTATTTTAGATGGCAGCATAAAAGTACACAAAGTTCCCATTATCAGGTGGGAAGAAGCAATTCAATTTTGAAACAATTACATGTTTCTGGGGAATGGCTAAGTGATGAAACCCTGCCTACCAGAACAGAATTTGACATCTTTTAGCCTCAGGTTATATTATAGGATGAAAGCATTGGCTTTCTGCTAGTGCTTCACCAGTTTTAGAGCTAGAATTGCAGCTGTTAGTCCCAGCGTGTATTCAGTTTGCCACTGAGAAGGATCCTCTACCCCTGAGCTTGTCTGATTTCAAGGACAATGCTACCACATTTTCTCCTGCCCTTGAAGAGCGAGATGTCCTGCTGTTGACAAGATCCACTGTGCAGGCATTACCCGGTCTATGCCCATCTTACCTTTCAGTTTTGTTATGCAAGAGGGCCATTATTGGTATTTATTATCAGAATGCCTCTGTGAAACTCAACCTTTTCTATGTTATGGATAACTTCTCTAAATCTGGAGGGTGAAGATGTCTTAGTTTTTAGAAGTGCCAGGAGTAGTGTCTGACATTTTTTAGTGTCTGTGGGGATTTTCAAGCACCTTTGTGGCTACTTTTATAGCTATTACTTAACAGCAAATTGTTGTTATAAGCCTAAGCTCCTCCATTAAATTAAAGAGGTGAACTCTAGAGAAAACTGGAATTATGCCTGAAAATAAGCATGTGAAATATCATCTCAGTTCAAAACCCCATTAGCTGTGTACTTTGCTGTGCATTTCACAGGCACAAATCATTGTACTAGGCACTGTTCATACCTACCATAGGATTGTGGATGGCATCACTGCACCTCTAAATACTCTATTTTCTGTGCTCTTTGTATCTGCTTAATATTAATGTTTAGAGAAAAGTTGGTTTGTATGTTGTCATTATTCAGTGAAGCAAACGACTTAGTAATACTTAATTTTCTAGTAAAAGTATTAAAAGGTTTAACTCCTTATTTCCAAATCTTTTTATATGTTTTTGTCTGAAAGGTGTCTATGTCAGCATCACTGTAGACATTTTATAAGCAAGAGAAAATTCAGTCTTCTAAAAACTTCATGTTAAAACCAGTGCTTTTAGCTGCTTTTTACTTGGCTTTCCTTTTTCCTTAAGTTTGCTGAGTCTGCTTCTGTCTTGTGACATTGAGTAAAAGAACAGCTACATCAAAACCAGTTCGTAGAGCCTGAGAAATTTTTAATCATTCTTACTTAAAAATACTGCATCAGCTTTATCTTTGATATTTTTCTCTGCTTTTCTGTTTGTTTGTTTTTTTCCTACATAGAGTATTTGACCTCGTAACAATTTAAAATCAATAATATGAAGCTATTTAAATCAGTAAGTTGCAGGGCTGTAAAAAACTTAAGTTGCTTGCATAGTAAATATTGCCAAGTATTGTGGTTCCTGTGATACAGCAGTGGTAGTAGTGACCTCCCCTCTGCTGCACATCTATGAGAAAGCAATAATAATTAAAAAATCACCCTTATTGCAGGTCTGAGTATTTTTTAAAGTGAATTGATCTTTCAGAAGTGAAAATGTTTGCCACTTGACAAAGACTAAAGCGTGTTGTGTTTCAGTGAAGCCACAGCAAAACCCCGCAGCCCCACAATCAGGTTAGTTCAGCCTTACCTTGCAGAGGGTTTGCCAGGAGACGGCAGCAGAATAAAAATACATCGCGGGTCCCATTGTCCTTCAGCAGAATTCAGACAGGGTTCTTCATTCTGTCGCCTGTGCAGAGACCTCACCTAAGGGAGAGGGGTTAAACATTAACGTGAATGTTTTCAGTTAAGACTTGATCTGGTTTCCCGCAGTGCCTCGCATATTTATCCTGCGGTTCAGGGGCAGAAACGTCCTCTGCTGCACAACCAGGAGGGAAAACTTGAGCTTTTCCAAATTTCTGTTGCTGCTCTTTCTAAGGCAGCCTTTGAGGGACTGAAATCAGACTTTGAAGTATGTGGAATAGATCGCTGATGATTATAAATAGTATTTATTGCTTTACCTCAGAGGCTTTAACCTCTGCGCTGCTAGGGGAGCGGGCTGGATGCTGAGAGCTGGGAAGGAAACGAGCCCTCTCCTCCTCCTCCGGCTCTTAACTGTTTGCCTGCTGAAACTTTCCGATTTGTAGCAAATAGGTGCTGCAGAGAATGACCTCTGCTCGTTTCTAGTAGCTGGAAGCTTAAAAGATAATAAAAGAAATATCTCCTTCTGAAACGGAATAGTTACTTTATTGCTACTTTTTTTTAAGGTTCTTGGGGTTTTTAATAAGTGAAAAGTTAAGAGTTTAAATTTACTGGGATTAGGAAACGTTGAGGTTGTAAAAACGAGTAAGAAAGCTGAAGTATTTTGGACGTGTTCAGGTCAAAATAGTGTGTTGGTCAGAAATAAACAAAGAAAACCTCAAAGTAAATGCAGGCACAGCTGCAGGGATGGCAGATACAAAATTATCACTGACTTTAACCTCTGTAAATAGAGGCTTATGCTTGGACAGTATTTCTGTAGAAGGTGCTACAACTTCTGAGCAAAAGTTCATTCAGTGAGTTGGTGTGTAGGAGACTTCCCTCTCTTCCCAAGTCATCATTTACTCTTTGCCCTATTGTATGTCTGAGTAGGGTGGCAATGTCAGAAATGGTGTTCATCAAATATTACATTACTGAACTTCTAATGACTGAACCTCTGGAAAAGTATCTCTGTCTAAAAACATGGTTAACTGTTAAAAGAGACAATTGCATAAATACAGGAGCTTGTATGGCTGGTAAATGAACAGTGAAATAGTCCTTGGTTGGCAGGACGTCTGTTCAAATCCTCTTCCTAAACATTGCACTGTTTAAGGAGGGATAGTCAAGTTGTGGTCATGTATGTTCCATAATCTGGTGAGAATTGCTTTGGAAAAGTATTCATGTCTTTTTGCATTTCCAAGTAATTATCTTTAGGAGGACTGAAGGAGTTAACTTACTGTTTATAATTTGGGAAAGAGGTCTCGGGTTTCTCATAAGACCTTAAACTGCAACGTTCATGTAAGCCCTTATATGAAAATATATATTTGCCTGTTGTTTATTTTTATTGCATTGAGACTGGAGTGGTCATGGATGGAACTACATCTTAGATGCTGTACAAAATAAATAAATCACTCTCAAAAGTAGTTTGCAGCAAGAAATATTGTGCAACCATTGCCTTATGTAGCTGAAACTTAAGAATCTTTAAACTTCAGAATTCAGGAGATCATCTTGGACTGAGATTTCATTATTGCTTAAAAAACCACAACCCTCTTGTATTCTCTTGAGAGAGATAAGCAGCTATCCTACTATATCAAAATTACTTGAGATTTAAAGTATCGTAATTACTTGAAAAAGTAATTTTACTATTTCTTTCATTTCTAGTTTAAGGTGAAAAGATTACATTTATGCATAAGCTAGTATGTCTTTTCCATTCCATATACCTTTATTGTTCTCCTAATTTTAAGTCTTCGAGTTGGGTTTTGTGATAAACTTTTGTAAAGTTGATGTTCTGTGTATGTATGTCTATACACATGGGATATGTTGGGTACCTAAATTATGAGTATCAGACTGAAGACTTTTTCATCTTACGTGCAAACCCTTTCAAGAATTCCTTGATGCAAGCATGTTAAGCCATTTAGATACAAACAGTTTTGAACACACTTTTAAAACTGGACCCTGAAAGGGCTTTTAGACAGAAGTCAAGCTGCTTGTGCAGCATCGCCTTGAGTTCACATCCCACTCTTCTTCTATTAGAGATTGAATCTTGCATTCAGATCTGCAATCTGCTGTTCTGATGCTTTTGTCTGTTTCAGAATAGTTTTCAACTTCAGTCTCATTTAGGAATGTCTTCTATTCAGGGTGCTGCAAAAACATCAAGAAACTATAGCAAGTATCTTCATGTCTACTTAAAGTCTCAATATAAATGAGATGCAGCAGGGGAGACCCTGTGACACCCATAAAGCCTTTGTATGAAGAAACAATCTTTCTGAATTTGTGAATCTAAAATTTCTTTATGTTTTTATCTCAGCCTTTCAAAATGTTGAGATAAAAATCTTTCCTTTTTTGCATGAAAGGATAATCAGCTTTTAAAAAAATTCAAATTAAGTCTGTGCTGCCAACAGTGCTGGCAGTTTAAAAGTGTTGCACATGTATAAGGCAACAACAGATTGTAGCCATTGGAGTCAGTGAAACCTGCAAACGTGGAGTTGGTTCTGTGCCTGTAACTTGCTGTACTCAAAGAATGTTTTAAAATGGCTTGGTCTGGAATATAATCTGGCTGTTGTCATAGCAAAAAATTATCTGTTTCAGTTAATGGGAAGAAGACACTGTCTTTATTTCCTTTTTTTTTTTTTTTAACTTTTCATTTTTGCAGAGTTCATCAGTTGAGCAGACTGGAGTCCCAAGTTCTGTGCATATGTCCTTTCATTTGTTTAATTCCTACTGCAAATACATGAGTAACCTTTCCAAACCTTTGTTTAGAAAACAGAATAATGACAGAGGCCGGATTATAAACTAATCTTGCAGATTAACAGAAAGCTTCTGGATTTACTAAAATAAAACAACAACCAAAAAAAAGGAAATTGAGATCTTAGAAAATGAAACATCATAGTCAGTGTGCTGGCTTCACCAAATGATTGAAAATGTGTGCAATGAAACATTTGTGTCTTCGTCCAGAAAACAAACGGAATTACATTAAACACTTTACATGCATTATCCAGATTAATTTATAAATGCATTTTGAAACTTGGTAGTGTTTAATAAACCAGATGAAGGACAATGAGATGGCAAGTTAATGAATAATGCTACTTTTTATGACTCCATTTTATCCCCATAGTCATTTAAAAAATAATCATAATTAAAAACAAACAAACAGGTTTTCCTGTCTAGCTGTTGATGAGAAAAATTCCTGGTGCTGTCTGCTCTACACAAAGAGGAATAACACCTTTGGTTGTTCTTAGTGTAGAGGAACTGCTCCCATCAGTTGCTGTTTCTTCTCTCACTGAGTTGAAAGGCAAATTCCAGAGCAGAATGCTGAAATCTCAGTCGAGTCCATTTATAACTAAAGAAAAATTAAGAGGTACTTTAGTATTTTGGTTTTTAGCTATGGGGTTCAGAAAGTTGAGCAGATCCTAGTTAGGGCTACTTTGTTTATCACTGTACATTTTACGCTAGGTAAAACAAGGAACCCATGGGCAGAAAATACAATGAGATCTTTTATTTAAAGAAAAGACAGAATTAGTTAAAAGTACTGTCTGTAAGGGACTGCTGGTGGAATAAATATGTCATTGCCATAGCCCTGTAGGGCTTTGAAGAAGAATAAAATATTTTCACATTTCTGAAACTCTTATAACTTGCTGTGCAGATTGATATACGGGCTGCTTTTAAATGTGAGTATCAAAAGTTTACAATTCACTTGCAAGATGAGTATTCTCTTTTTTTTTTAAGGAGAAGGATGCTGTCAATCAATATTATTTTGCTCAGTGGTGAAAGCAACTGAAATTTTCCCTTTGACATTTTAGGTGAAATGATGCATTAGACTGTATTAAAAGAGAGAACTATTCAAAAAGAGACAATGACAAAGGGAAGGATCGGAGAGATCCTTAGAGCTTAAACACAGTATTAATTCTGAAAATGTTCAACTGCATTAAAATATCGGGGAAAAAAAACTAGTTTTGTCCTTTTTTTTCTTGAAGTGTGGTGTTCCCTTTCAAGAGGAAGATGTCATTGTTCTTAATGGTACTAAAGAAGATGTGGAAGTATTGAAGAAAAGAATGGAGGATAGAAGACTTAAAAGTAAATTAGAAAAGGTAATTTTTTAATACATCATTTCAAACAAAATTGAAAGTTCTTTTCTGTAATGCAATCTGCTCTGTGATCATACAGCTTTTTCTGCTAATCTTCATGCATACTGGAGGATTTACTTAGTAACCTGTGTTGTACTTCAGTGCTGCCTTTTAAGGTGATGAGATTGAATGCATATTTTGCTAATAGGATATTGAAGTTGTAGGTGCTGAGACTGTCTTTTCAGCAACAGGCAGTGCACAGTGCTCTGAAAATCACACAGCTGGATGCTATAATGTATGAAATGGACAATGTGCTGGTTGCATTTTAGGTTTTTCTTGAAACAAAGACCTTGTATTAGTTAATTCTAGTAATGAGCAAGATCTCTGTATCTCATGTGGTAGTGCCTGTTTTATTGTGAGGGTCCTCTACTGGCCACAGCCAGAAATACAGTACTGGCACACATAGGCTCCTGGTCTGGTTCTATAAGACCACTGTTTGGAAAATCTGCCATATTCTTCTTGTTCCTGTAATGCTGGGTGATTCCTGGTGATGCCAGTTCCACCATAATGTTGAGGTCATATGTGCCCACGATGAAATTTGTTCAATACATCTTCATTAATGACAGGACGAGAGGAAATGGCCTGAAGCTGGGCCAGGGGAGGTTAGGATGTCAGAAAGAATTTCTTTGCCAAAAGAGTTGTTGGACAGTGGAACAGGCTGCCAGGGAGGTGGTGGAGTCACCATCCCTGGAAGTATTTAAAAGAAATGTAGATATATTGCTTAGTGACATGATTTAAGCACTGAACGGGTAAATTAGGCTGTGGTGGGGGCGTTTAGGTTATGGTTGGACTTGATGATCTTCAAGGTCTCTTCCAATCAGGATGATTCTGTGATTCTGTGATTGTATCATATATATACATATACCTGTATTTACAAACAACTCAGAATTCAGATACCAGACACTGGGAGGTCGTTTTTTGTAAATCCACCCGTAACAGTTTCCTGGGTGCACCCTGAAAGAGTTTTTTTCGTGTATGTGGAAGGACATCCAGAGAGCCAAGTCTGCTGTTAGAATAGTAACCCTCTGCCACCATCTCCTGGCTGAGCTTTGCAGCAACATGTGATGCAGCATTTTTTTTCTTTGAGCGTTCATCATATGCTTGGCAGCAGGGGTTCTCTTAAATTTTATAACAGATTTAAATATATTTATTTTCTTTGAGTTCGTGTAGCTTTCTTGAAATGCATACACCATTGGGAATGTATACACAGCCCTCTTTTGTGTTCCTAATGCCAATGAGTAGTTTAATACATCTTTCTTTTCCAGCTTGGCATTTACATAATGAAAACCAGAAATGGGATTCTTGTTGCTGTTGTTTGGTTTTTTGTGTTATTTAATCTGGACAAACATAAATTAACTTGAAAATCTGGTCCACAGATGCTTTTTTTTTTTTTGAAAAATAGATTAATTATTTGCATTTTTTCTTCCCAAGCAGTCCTGCAACAAAGGGACCAGTTATTGAAAGTTACCCAAGAGGGATTTTTTTATGAACTAAATAAAATTAAGTGGATCTGAGACACAAGATTATTCTGAAAATTTTATTGAAAAATGTCTTTATGATTACTTTTAACTGTGTCCTGTTGAATGTTGTACAATTTACTGTGCTGCCTTGTGGGTTCAGAGTGTCGGATTACCTTGATGATGATAACACACCCCCTCTGCCAAGTATACAAACCAAAATGCTGTATCCAGACGGTTCAGTTTTGGCCTGCAAGATTTCCTTGAAGGTGCCTTCAGGATTGCCAAGGTTATTATTTTTCCATACAGAAATGTTAACAAAACTGTAGAGCAGTATTGTAAAAGGAAGAGTTCCACTATGTAACACAGAAAAATGTACTAAATTTAATTGTGTGTCTTATCAAATACAAGTTGGGAATTGTATATCCTTTTAGTACATTACCAGATCTCTGCTTGTCTTGTTTCAGAAATCAAAGAAATGTAAGTCAGCAGAATCAGCTTCTCAGCCAGACACCACTGAAGGTAAGATCACAGCTACAAACTGTGTGTAGCCTTCCCACTCATGAGGCAGAGTCACAAGGTCATTTCTTTTCTTTGATAGATTCTCCAGGTCCATCAAAGGCTACGAATGGAAAGGATTGTATCAATTCCAGTTCTGGGGAAAAGAGGCAGATTATCTTCACCAAAAGTTCAGGTTGGTGTTTATTCTTTAATCTAAATATAAAAAATGTGAACAAGTAATTCTGCTTTGAAAACCATTAGAGGAGGGATCATTCATAGTTAGTACCATGGATTTCAGAGGTGCTCAGGGACATGGTTTAGTGGTGGCCTTGGCAGTGCTGGATTAACAGTTGGACTTGATGCTGTTAAAGGCTTCTTCCAACCAAAACAACTCAATGATTCTAATATTTTAGTTACTAATTTGCTGTGTGTCACTGGGAGCAGTGGAATGTAACTTCAGGATGTGCTGATGTACCCACAGTAGTCATGCAGCTGGGAGTGATCTTGGCAGTCCTTTAATCCAAAGGCTGGTGCCCACACTTTAGGTAATATATATTATTTACAGTCAGTCTGATTTTGAGGTGAAGTATTAAATCCTGTAGATTACAGCCACAGAAAAAAAATCAATAGCATTTATTTGAAGAATCTGAGAATAGATGATAAACTGTGGATAAATTATGTGAGAAGGTGGGGAGATTTCAATTTGAAGTGCTTTACTTGTCCCCTACTGGCTGTTTTCATAAGAGTAGACTTTTAAAAATATTTAGTTCCTGATTATTATAATTGCTCTTGGATGTTTAGGAACCTAGTAATTCCAGCAACGTTTGATGTATTATTCTTTTCCAAGACTGTAAAGGAAAATGTCAGGTCATTGGTTTGTTTCTGGCAGCAGTTACATTGATGAGCAAGAGAATGAGAGGGGAAAAAAAAGAAACAGATCTGTGGACTGAGGAATGCCAGTAGCATAGAATTAATTTGTGAACATGGCACCCTAAGGTTTCTGGACTTGCAGCATACATGTTTATTCTTTCAAATCCAGTGTTTGGTAATTCTTTCCAGGCAACTATTAGTGGCATTAAAAGCAGCATTCCACAAATATAAAAAGGGTCTGATCTATGATGATTTAGGGTTGCACATGGAATTCCCGTGACTACAGGCAGAAAGCAGTTCAGTGTCATTTCAGACAGGCTCCCTGCTAGCTATTTACATGCCACTGTGCCTAAGTTCAACTAAATATGTAGAGTTTCTGCAGACTTCTATGTAGTCGTTTCTTTGCACAAGAGACTTGGCACATGCTTTTAAAAATGCTGCCCTTCAACTTTGAGGGAGATTAATTAATTGCTAAGAGAGAGAGTGGATATAATACACTGAGAGAGATGGTATCAAAAACAGAGGGATGGGCACTTTCTTATCCCAAATATGAGATGATGCACACCATGGTGATTGGTCATAAATGACTTTGCAAAGAATAAAGGGAGGAGATGGATTCCCTGGGGACAATGTATCACAAGTTTAGCTTTTGTCATTTGATAGCTCATTTCTGAACAATACTTCAGGGTGGTGGAACACTTTCAAGTTTCTTTCTTAAGACTGGAGTTCAGAGCCATTTTTCACAAGTAGGAAAGAATTCCTCTCTCCAAGATTTCTAAATGTGTTTTGGGAATAAGTTCTAAAAGCCAGAACACATTTGCAGTTAGGAAAGATGTTTGCTGTTGAGTACAATTATGGGATATATTTACCATAGCCCTGAAAAATATCTATACTTCATCTCTGTATGCAGTATTTTTAAAATACTTTTATCATTTGTTGTGCATGCTTCATTCTATTCCTTTTTCTCTAGCAGATAATGGAAATTCATCTGTACCAGGAAAAGTCAATAGGGTCAATAAGGCTGCTTCTACTACTACCAAGAGATCCATTGCAGACAGCGAGGAGAAATCTGAGGCATACAAATCTATTTTTACATCACACAGCTCAGCAAAACGTTCAAAGGAAGAGTGTTCCAATTGGGTTACTCACACAGCATACTATTTCTGAAACAATGAGGAGCCTGATCCTAACATTCATCACTGCTTTCCTGCCCCAAGGCTTTTTCTGTACAACTCTGATACAGAACTTCTGTTGTCATCTGATGTTATCTGGAATTATTCAGTTTATAAACTTGTGAATAACTAATAAACTTGTGTTACTTGCAACTTTTATTAAATAAGAAATAGATCACCAGGATCCATGTTGTATCAGCAGACCTCATTCTAAAATGATGGATTATTTGCACAAATTTTTTCCTTTTCTTCTCCTAGTTGGATGCTGTCATTCTTAGCCACAGTAGCTGGTGTGCTCAGTAGTAGGAGGGAGGCCAGAAGGATCTGCCTTCTCTCCTCTTCTGCTGATATTTACTGCAGCTGCATTTATAGTTTTCAGTGTATTAGTACAGAATTTCAAACTTTTCAAAACTTTCTGCAAGTAAAAAGAGCAATAATTTTCTTTTGTACAAGGTCACTGGGCCCCCAGTAGAACTAGTATATGTGTCTTAAAGCTTCAGCTTTCAAGTAATTTACCTTTTGATGGAATACATGAAAGCATGATCTTGAAAATGTTGGTACAACATTCTTGTACCTATAGTTGTAGCTTGTTTTCAGTACCCAGATCCTCACTTGTAAATCATAATCTAGAAAGATGAACCTGTAATAGTAAGGCTGGTTTTTTCCCCAAAAAGATGTTGATGTTTTTATTTGTGGTTTTGTGTTTTAAAGTTAGAATTATCAGGTCTGAAGTTTCTTTCTTTTGTCAGAGATCAGCATATGCTGGAACAAAAGTGTGAGTTCCCTTACTTTTTCTGTTGAAACAGTAATGTGTGTATGTTTCTGAGGAGCCATTTGCTATTTTGAATTTAGCAGCTTACATGAGAATACAGCCATTTGTATGGTGAGAGGAAAACCGGTGGTGACAGAATAGGAGCAGGCAGATCTTCACTGCCTTTTTGGGAGGAACTTTGGGCACCGGTGTCATGGGGGTTAACTCATTGGTGGCTGGTGGAGGGAACCCTGCAAGGCTGGAGGTAGCTTCTCAGCACGTTTCACTTTGCAGGCTACTGAAATGTGCTGCTTTCACAGCATCTGCTGTGCACATTGGTTTATTTTCTGACATAAAATCTTTAACAGCAAACTGTTAACTGTTTTTTACAGAAAGATGCTAAGCACAATGTATTGCTCAGTTTTGCTTTTATATTTAAGCATCTTATCCCTGTGACATTGATTTAAATAAAACTTGCTCTTGTCCTATGACCATAATGCTTCATGTTCAGTTGAACAGATACACAAGTGTTTATGTTGTCCTTGTTAAAACAATTTTTCTAGGCTTTCCTCTGTTCCTATTATTCTTAGCTTTTTTGCAAGCACAGGAATCGTTTTAAAATGTTAATGTTCTATAGCAATGATTTAGTGGCTGAATATTTTAATCCAATAAGACCTACATTAAATGACCAGAGGAAGAGATGGAAGCTTTTCACTTTTCTCTTAAAATATGCCTTTATAATCTTGGTACAAACTAACCAGAATAGAAATGCAGAATGTAGGAGCCCTTTAAAACCACTGCATGATGTTATGTTGTTACCTTTGCGTGTGAAGATGATTCATTATCCTCATAACTTACTTTTTAGAATGACCCCATTTATAATTGGCAATAGTTAATGGGAGATTCAAATGCTGTGTTTGTATTTCTGTAGGTGGTCTCCAGGATTCAAGCATGTGGAATGAAACTGCTGGGATTTTATTATGATTTTGATAGATAAAATTAAAAATTGGCTTGTTGTAGAATTTAAATGGTGGTAAGCATTTTTGTTTTCCAAAGATGTGAATGCTTTTATACATCACATCAAACAGTTTGAGGTTTACAGGAGCTTCCAGGAAGTACTCAGCCACGTTTTGTATGTGTGTCTAGTAATCAGCTTTGTTCTCTCTGTTCTGTATTGTTTTCCTCTTCATTATTATCCTTTATTATTTGTTAGTTACACACAACAGAACTGCTGCACTACAAGGTGTACTACAGGAGTCTAATTCTGTTTTGACAATGTATGTTCAAGTCCTATTAGTATTTTATAGCAGTGCATTTTTTCTTTTATTTAAATCATTTATAAATCCTAAGGGAAATTAACTTAATGCTGTTCATTTAGCTGTTACTTTCTTAAAAAAATATGAGAAAATATAATAAGCAGCTTTGCTTCCCTTTTCTTGATAGTTTGTTAGGCAAAGCTCAGCCTGCAGAGGTGGAAACAGGCTTCCCTGCTCACTGAAGCACAATTGTTACATTTTTTCATCTCATCTGCTCATCCATTAAAGTAAGTTCATGTCTACAACATGATTTGCTTAAATATATTTGGATTTATTACCTGGAATTGACAGTTTGTGCTATGCCACTTTGTTAGGATTTTGTTTGGTAGTTTACCATCCTGACTTTGTGGATGAAGTTCCTAAAATGTTCCTGGTGTGTAGAAGCGTTGTCAGTGACTGATGAGGTCTTTTCCTTCCCTTTACATGAAAAACAGCTGTGAAGGAATGTGATATATTGTTGGCATGTGAAGCAATTCAACGCTACAATTGACTTTTGTTAATGTAAAATAGAGAAGCAAAAAACTGACACTTCTGTTGTTGGCAGGCTGGGCTGGGCAGCTGAGGCTGGAACGTTGACTTGGCAAGTTTTAATAGATTCAAGTGAATGGTTTGCTGGAGGATGTTTGCTTTGTTGTGGTTTGCTTTTTGTGGGGGAGGGCAATTTAATTTTCTTTTAATGTAGGTGAATTTCAATGTTGGTGAAAGTTGAAGACTGCAGAAGTCTTAGAATCTGAAACCTGTATTTTTTTGAGATGCCACATAAGTCTCCCGGAGCGTTGCATCCATGTGTCTCTTGTGGGGAGTTCACAGAACAGTTAGTTCTGTTTCCATGATGTTCAAGCCTTGGCTTCTCTTCTAAAGGGCTTAAAAAGGATCCAATTAGTGTTCGTTTTTTTGTGATGTGGAGCCTGCCCACTGGGAACTGGACTGAAATTCAGTGACTTCCTTCACACAGGCCAATAACCAAATGCTGGTCGTGAAACCTGGCCCAGATATGCACTGTAAAGCCTTCTATCCTGATGTACATCCTGTGGACAGTCTGTCTGTCTGCACACTTGGGAGCATTCAGTCCTCTGGGGCTGTCTGTCTGCACACTTGGGAGCATTCAGTCTTTTGGACACACATCCTGCTGGCCTGACTACCTGAGGGTGTTCACACTGTCACACTTGGTGGAAGTCAACCTGGTGTCATTGTATAGTACCAGCTTAACTCCTCACACTGCCACACCAGACACAGTATTTTGTGTCATTTCACAGGACATCCTGTAAACTACCTTTTCCCTTTGTCCTGATAACCCATAACTGCAACTGCAGTTGCTGAGGAGCAGCTGTGATGCCCAACTGCAGCTGATGGAGCAACATGCTGGCGGGTGCCCCGAACACTGAATTCACACACCTTGAACCCTGCACCTCAACGTCCTGGAGCTGACAAAGGTGGGTTTGGGGTGAATTGTTCTTTCCTGGCTCCTGCACACAGCAGGAAAAGGTGAGTTCCTTCCTTTCCTCCCTAAGCTCTAGTGCCTCCATTCTTTGCATATCTTCCTGACCTCCCCACATTGCTGGTACCAGCAGCTCCTTCCCATGGGCTCTTATTAGCAGGTAGGCTGGAGGTATGTGTTGACCAGCCTGCTGGCAGGCAGTGTGCAAGCTCTGTAAGGGCATTGCTGGTGGAGGTCTTGTCTCTCCAGCCATTTTCCACGAGACCTCTAAAAACTACATGTCTTCAAGGGTTTTATATCTCTGTGAATCTTGGTTGAAATCAAACGCTGGTGTATGTTGTTGGTGATACAAGGGGGTAGCAGCCCTGAATCTCTAGAAAACAAGATTAAAACCCTTCAGAGAAGCAGCAGCACCCCCTCCCTACAGCCATCAGGAAGGCAAAGTTGGAAGAGGAGGAACACAGCATCCATTCTGGAAAGACTGGAATTTAATGATACCCTGCTGATAAAATGCTGTAGTTAGTGAACAGTAAGTTTCAAGGGGCAGTGTTCATTCTGGAAGCATAGTTTAGTTCCCAATAATATTCTTTTAGAAGTAATCATAGTGCTATCTTCTCTCTAGTGGGAATAAAATTTGAGAGGTGTGCAGTGGGAAACTGCATGCAGTTTGCAAAGACAGGAGGGAAACTTTACTCAACCTCTCTGTTTCAGTCTCAAACTTCCATGCCATGAGATCATCACATACCTGTCAAATTGACCAAGAAAAAAAAAAAAAAGCTTAAAATTCCCTTTAAAACATGATGCTTGTTAGATTAAAATATTTCTTCTTAATGTCCTATTCTTAGCTAAAGTGAACACACACAATTGTCTTTAAGTGCCCTGTCATGCCTTCTTTGCAGCCCAGATGCCAGTTGCAGTTGGTATATTTTTGCTCTGCAGGATTCAGAGCTGCAGTGACCCTGCCAAATAGTTTCTTAGTTGCATTTAAAAATAAAAGGGCTGTTTATACATTACAATCCACAGAGGATCTGAAATCAGTATGTCCTCAGATGAATGCAAATCATAGACAAAAAGTGTTTTGTTGGAAGGCTTGACAAATATGGAACTGATTACTGCTAGACAGCACAGATTTCCTTCTGTAAGATGGAACTGATAGAATTCCTTCCTGACATCTCAATATTATAATTGAGTTGGGTTTTTTCCTGTGTTGTAAACTTTACCAACCTTCAGAATGAGCAAGAGGGATGGAATCCTAATCCATCTGCAATTGATGGGAATTCTGCCTGTAAACCAGGATTTTAATCTAAATATCCATCCAACTGCCCAGTGACTGTGGGAGTCCTGATAACAATTGCAAAGCTGTGGTTCTGTCAAGCATTTAAATTCGTGTGGATTAAACTACCTCTTACAGGTCAGTGACAGAATTGAATTTTCAAATTGACCACAGACCTTTTTAAGGGAAAGAACCAGTTTCAGTCTGACACTGAATAAAATGAGATTACCTTTTTAAAATGCTGCCCTGCCAGCTCTTGGTAACACACCCAGCAGAATTCAACCTTTGTGTGCTATTCATGACCATCTCCAAAAGGTCGTTTCAAGAGTTAAGGGGGTGAGTTGGTGAAACACAACCTCTTCCCCCTTGTAGAAGCATTGATCTGTCAGGCTTTTTTCTTAGTT